GTCGCTAGGCAGTGGCCGGGCGCCCCGATTTTGGTGTAATCGGTCGAAAAACGCAGTCTGGATTAATTTTTTTCCCAATTCAACTCCCCCCCCGTTTTGACTAAAAACAACGTTTGATCAATAAGTATTCTATTCCCATATAATGTAGTTTCATATTACTACGATAAAAATAATTTTGAAATATTTATAATTTTTAGAATGTTTATTTACATTTTAGAGACAAAAAATATAAATCTCTACATTTATCGATTAATTATTTTATTATTTATAATTTTCATACAAAATTCATAATATCTAATTATTATATGAGCTATTCCTATTGTCAAAATATTACAAAGAAAAATAAGAAAAAGAAAGTTAATTAGAAGATATGAGAGGAAGCCGTCCAACCCAGCTGGTCACCAACTCACTCTCCCTTACGGAAGGTCTCGGGTTCGAAACTCAATGAAGTGAGTTTCATTCTGATTACTTCAGGCCCCCCAGGCCCCCTCCTCCAGACGCCCCCTGGAGTAAAAAACAAAGAATTAGAAGATATGAAGGTAGAAGATATGAAGCAGATATCGTGATGCTCATGGTTAGACTCCTAATACTCAATAAAATAAGTCAGTTGCAAATTAGAAGTACACTAATGCCCATTTAAAAGAAGCCATGATTTTTCACTCAAGTACAAAAATGCCACCCGTAAAAAATTAGCCCTTTCGCTTGTTTTCCATCTCAAACATCTCACTTTTGGTAATGAGCTGTCTTGGTTGGTTGGGGTGAGTGTACGTACCCAAATGTAGGATACATGGTTTTATGCATTTTAAAGATTTTTGCATAAAGATAAATGGAGTTGCTAGGCGCCCCCTAATGTTACTTCATCTAACCTTGGCAAGACTAGTTTACCCTTCGTTTTCAATTTTTTAATTAAGTTTAATATATATAAGTTCTCCTTAATAGAAGCGTCACTGAATCAACCCGTCAATGGACCACTAACACATTTTAATCAATTTCAAAAACACTCTACGCTCAATATTTTGGTGTCACAAAATTTTCATGTTTGCTATGATCTTTTTTAAAACTATAGCAAATAGCAGATGAAATAAATTTTATGATCTTTCAATGACACCAATTACATATGTCAAATTTTGATAAATTTACTCTTGTCTAGTTTGCTTAAGTGTAGTTTGATAAATGACTGGTGGATGTGGATTGTACTATTTTTAAGTATTGTCTAGTTTGACCTGAGTCGTTTTTGTCTAGTCCGATTTGTTCCGATAGATTGGAATTTGGTCTAACTTGACATCAAAATTAGTCTAATAAAGAAGATATTAGACAACTTGCCTAAGCAAAATTTTAGGATATGTCACTGACTAAAAGATTATTCTAAATAAAGGTTCAAAAGACATAAAGATAATAATACTTTCTTCATCCCCTAATTAAAGTCCCAATTTGATTTTTGACTCAAACTTCGTAAACTTTGATTATTAATTACTCTAAATTAACAATAACTTATCAAATAATATCAACTTTATATGCTTCATTGTAATATTATTATTCAAATGTTTATTTCTCTCTATCGGACAAAGTTCACATCTTCTTCTTTTGACTACCGCTACTCATAGAAATAACTACTAGAAAAATAGTTGCAGAAAGTTATAGACTTATAGTGCGATTGTGAAAATTATGCAAATGTATTTTGTTGTTTTGCAAATTGATTATTTATATATAACCTAATAGAGAAAATCGCACTTTTGGTCCCTCAATTAGTCATCATATTGAAATGTCACTCTCGTATTTTTGAGATTTTAAATATCACCCCCGAATTGACAGATGTGTTGTAAATTTTTGTCCCGTTGTTTATAATTTATCCCCAATTCTAGATTACGAACAAATTCACTTGGGATAACATTTACGAACACATCTGTCAATTCAGGAGTGACATTTACAATCTCAAAACACGTGTCTTGCATTTCAATACAGTGACTAATTGATGGATCAAAAGTGCGATTTCTCAACCAAGTATATTTAGAATTATGATCAAATGAGAAGAGTGTATTGTAAGAAATGAGAATGTATCTGGTGTGCGTATTGAATTTGAGATTTAATGACGGTCAAAGTGTGGAAAATGTTAAAAAGTGACGAGTGACGTGATAACATATTCGTAATTAACTCAAACTCTCTGCCATCGTATAAAAGTGCATCAGGTAATAAGCGTGAAAAGTGCAACACAAAAGAGTGAACTTGAATCATTCTCAATTATCAGACAGATCAAACCTGACTCGAATTAAATAAATCATATCAGATCAGGCTTAAAGGACCAGACCAGACCAGACTTAAATAGACTAGACCATGCCAGACTTTAACAAACCATATATATCATACCAAACATCGACAATTGTAAAATAAACGGAAATTGTCCTAAATAGGACTAAAAAGTTCCTAAAAAGCACAAATAGGACTACTATTTTTAAAATTCCCTAAATAGGACTAAACATTGATTTTCTACCCTAAATACCCCTAAGAGTATTAATTCATAATGAAATGCTTTAATTCATAATAAAATCACAAAAAATGTAAAAAAATATTTAAAAAACGTAAAAAAATTAAAAAAAAATTATAAAACATTTATAAAATAAAAAATTTAATTTTTATTTTTTTAATTTTTTTAAAAAAATAATAAAAAATAGTAAAAACCCATAAAAAATGAAAAAAATTATGGATACCTTTCTCACCACCTCCCGCCGCCTCCCAGCACCACCACCTCCGATTGGTGAAATTTCTTCCACTTTTGGTAAAAAAATGCCATATTTTTCTGAAAATGCCAAAAAGATGGCATACTTACTCTTCAATATGCCAACATTTTCATTGATTATGCCATCATTATGCCAACATTACTCTTCAATAAAAATGTTGGCATATTTTTGTCCGGTGATGGGAGATGGTGGTGTTGGGGGTGGCAGGGGTGGTAATGTGTTTTTTTTAATTTTATGTTTTTTTTTTATTTTTTTTATTTTTTTTTTTAAAAATATTTTTTTTTATTTTTTTTAAAAAATATTTTTATTAATTTTCTATTATTGTTTTTACGATTTTTAGTATTTTTTTCGATTTTTATTAATTTTTTATGATTTTATTAGTAATTAAAACATTTCACAAGTTACAAGGGTATATTTGTCCAAACACACATAAATAGTCCTATTAAGGGAATTTAAAAAATGTAGTCCTATTTGTGCAATTTTTTCACTTTTTAGTCCTATTTAGGGAATTGACTCTAAAATAAACAGAGTACATATATCTACCAGATCAAACAGTTCAGACCAGACAAGGTCAGATCGGAAATTTCAATCCAAGTAAAAACATCAATATACTTCGTATTATATAATATCCCCCCGTCACTTAAATCTTTATCATATTTGAATTTTGTGGTCAACCAAGTTCACTTTGACCAGTTATATTTTTTTACATGAAATTTTTTATAATATAAAAATGATATGAAAGTATTCTTTGTTAAAAATACTTCCATAAAAGTATAAAATTTAAACTTTCCAAATATTATACTGATCAAAATTATGATCCAAACTTTATCACCGTTCACTTACTATTGACTTGAAATGTGAATGATGACAAAGTTTTAAGTGATGAAGATAATACTTTTTTTTTGCCCTGAATTGATAGTAAAGTCAAATCCCCCAAGAGATGGTTAAATCAATTTTAATAGATAAATTACATATTCAGAAGCTGCATTGAAAATTACATAAAATTGCAAAATTGAAATTAAAATGTAATAAATGTTGAAATGCTAATAAGTAAATAAAATTGAACTTTATTGATAAAATAAATTGACTCTACAAATAATACTAGAACGGTAGGAATAATGCAAATACAACAGCATTCGGTCGTATTAGAAAATGAATTGGAATAAAAAAAATATGATCTAAGCTTTATACTCCGTATCATTTTAGAAGGGAAACCTCCCGAAATAGGACTAAAACAATTTGAAAATTCCAAAATAGGGCTGTCATGTTTTTTATTCCCAAAATAAGAGTAATTACTGTCAAGTTTGGAAAATACTGTCATGCTTGAAGTCTGGTACTGCCAAAACATGACAGTAATTAGTCTTATTTTGGGAATAAAAACATGACAGTCATATTTTAGAATTTTCAAACCTTTTAAATCCTACTTCGGGTAATATTCTCTTTTAGAAATGAATTGGAATAAAAAAAAGCAATTTAAGCCCTTAGAGCGCGGCACAACCACATAGGACATTATTGTCCCATTCATGTGAAAAATGGGTGCACATAGCACATTTTAGGGTGCGTAGAGATCGACCTAAGATAAAACACAAATGCTAAAGCTACCCTATTTTGTACCCTTTATGTTTGTGGTTCACAAAAACACTTTATTAAAATGGAACAATTAATTGATTGGGTTGAGTTTTTGTGAACCCCTCTATGAGTGAGATACAACTGAGTAGGGCTGTGCACGGGTCGGGGTCGGGCTAGGCCCGACCCTTTGATATTTCAAATCAGGTATTTTGGATATTTTTATGTAGGATATTATCGGATATCGGACCGGATTTCGGATATTTCACATTATAATTGGATAATTAAAGTGTTGGAATGCCACTTTGACAAAAATTGTACACACTAATGCACTACACATTCAAATTAGACAAATAATTTAACACAAATTGCACAAATAATTACACAAATAATTGAACACAAGTATTAACTTAACATATTCAAAATACACACTACATAATTTAATATATTTCGGATATTTCGGGCGGGTCGGATTGGGATTTTACAAACCCTACCCGCCACCCGGTCCAGGCCCAATACTAATCGGATTTTCGGTTTCGGGTTTTCGGGCCGGACATCCATATCCAACCGGATAATATCCGAAAAAAAGTCGGGTTTTGCGGATCGGTTCGGATTTTGGTCAACCCTACAAATGGGGTCAGCCCTACAAATGGGGTACTTGCGTACTTCACCATTTCTGAAGATAAAATTGCACAAATCTTGCAACTTCAGGTTTTTGTGACTTTTGTCCCTTTTCCGTGTACTCCGAATTAGGTAAGGGTGAAAATACGAACGAGGAAATATGAATCTCTTTCAAGGGTTTAGGCGGGGCTTTCAGCTTCGGTCGAGCAAGTCCCAGAAACGGCTTCCTTGTCCTCCAATGACAGCTCTAGCCCCTGCAAAAATCTAAAGCTCAACTTCATTATCGGAAAAGATCCCAACTTTCTTATCCTTTACACTGATGTTGAAGGTTCTCACATCAATTTCTCGTTACAACTCAGCGTCGTCGGCTTTTAGCCACCATGCCCGACCGTACAGAGAGTCAAACTCTCCATTGGACCGAGTTCTGATTTCAATCAGAAGCTCCAGACAGAAGGGGACCTACTTCTGCACACGATTTTTCTGTTCGGACAACACCAATGGGCCGGACCCGCCTGCCGAGGCCGGGGCAGAAGCTAAGCAGGGAGAGGTTGAAGTTGAAGGGGCTGCTGAGGCTACGAATTCAGCTGCCATGGTTCCCACAGTGTTTGGGCCTGAAGACTGTCTATTGGTTAGCTCTATGCGGATCATTTGAAATTGTGTGCTTGAGGGTGTGAATTCTTCGTGTATGCATGCATTCAATGCCAATATCCTGAAATTACATTGTCTCTGGATTTATTGAATGAAAAATATGAAAGCCTGTTGTTGATTTCATAAGCTCATTCCTTTAAAGAAACATCAAGAGAATGTGAAATGAGAATATAGTAGAAAAATAGAAACTTTTTCGATAGTTGATGTAAGCTCAAATAGAAGAGTGGAAAATAAGGGTATTGTATAAAACTGAAAATTTTATCCTTAATTTTTTGAGCCCTTCCTCTCATTTGGATTTTTTACAACGTTGACTTTTGTATTGATGTTTAAGCTGCTGAATGACTGCCATTGGATGAATGGGAGTTAAACGAAATCATATGAATCTAATTTTACTATGTAGTAGCTTACCGTGTTAGGGTAATGTGATACAAAATTAGCTGCTAATCTAGTTTCATGATAGGGCTGTAATTTTGAAGGTCCATTTGAAATTTCAATATTTTAGGGGGTTATGCATCAGAAGATGCAAATGCAGGATGAAGTTGGTTGGGTTGTAGAGTGGCTTCTTAATTCAATCTTCGATCCAAGCAGGTAGTGGTAATTTTGATGTGAAATTGGTTTTCACATAGGAAGAATGTAAGGTGCAACTTAAAATGACACCGTATCTATAGCAATTACTCAAATATTTCCTTAAAATTAAATGTTGACACCTCTTTAAAGGTGTGGTTATTTTTTGTTATGTGGTATCAACCAGCGCGATCTGTTTTAATTGTAATCTTCTACAAAGCCTCCCTTAGCCTTAGGACAATTTATATCTTTTTTTTTTTTTTTCATATTTTAACAGGCCATCTGATTACATGACTGGTCCTTTATCACTTTATGGATACATTCCTTTAATGTGTTAGAATCTGTAGTCTGTACAGAGTACATCACATATTTTTTTTGTGTGAAACTGCAGCATATAGGAGATTTTAATTATGCGCGGTTAGAAGATTTTGGAGCAGCAACATCTGGTGCTAACAAACTGCATTGTCAACAAGTTCTGGAAGAGATTGATGTAAGTTTCTGAGGTATCTTGTTCCTTTAGTTTCAACAACTAAGGATGTGATAATGAAAATTCATAGAAAATGCTTTAAGCATCATAGATTCTTTGTTGTATTTCTACATGCTAATTGTGATCCCCAAGTTCACGAAGTGTAGTGGGTGTCCTGTGAAGTATGTTTATTATGAATCTTGATGCAAAAAATATTACAAAATCCAAAGTTAATATCATTGGGGAGCAGCGTTGCTACTTATTAAATAAGCAATTGAAGGCCATAAGAAAGTAGGTGGTTTAAGTCATGAATTTCTTAATTGAACTTAGAAGTCATAGTGGCATACATTTTTTCTTATAAATTACCGAGTTTTCAAGTTGGCATAATTTATGCCTTACCTAATGCAGGAACTGGGACTGGAGACTGATGACAAGACAGCTCTTTCCGGTTTGTAGTCTTCTAGTCCTGCGACATTTGCATAATTGAGAATCGTAGGGAACATGGTTTTGGCATAAAACCATTTGTCTGTTATGAAGCCTATAAAGGGATGAACAAATTCATCAAATTGATTAACTGACCGAAATTGAAGCGTAACCAAACTCAACCAAAACCAACCAAATCATAAGCGGCTCCGTTTAAGATTTTTTCTTGTAAAACTTATACAGCTATCCAAAACAAACCTAAACCGACTTAAGTTACTTGGTTTGGTTCTCGGTTTTGCATTTTCATAATCAAACTAACAAAATGCCGAACTGATTAAGCCGTTATATTGGCACGCCTGATGCTAGGGCCATGTGGGAGGAAAAGGAATTCTTATTTAATTGTCTAGGTTGTCACACTAGCAACATTAAAATTCCAAAAATAGATTTCCTCCCCCCCATTTACATTTTTGAGGATGGGATTATACTTTAATGATTATAATGCTTGCAGTACAATTGATTTTTCCGAACCCGGAAACAAATGGGACTTTGGAAAAGCGTTTACCCACAGATCATATTCTGAAATCCACCGTTTCAGACCTCATCACGAAGCAACACTGGTCCAAACTCAGAAACCTTATTAATCACGCTGACCCAACAGGCTTCATTCTACATTTATTCCAACCCGGGTTCAGTTCTGATGCCATTTTCTCCTTCTTCAAATGGTCCCAGACAGCTTATAAAGTTTCTTACCCTCCTCAACTTTTATGCAAACTACTAGTCTTGGCTGCAAAAGAAAAGAGATATTCAATGGTGAGATCTTTGCTACACTCCTTCGTTAAAGGTGGGAAAATCCACTCAGTTTCGTCTTTTTTTCATGAATTGTTGACCTGTAGTGATGAATTCCATCTCAACTCTATCATTGTTGATATGTTGATATTGGCTCTTGTCAATAATTCGAAAGCTGATTTTGCTTTAGAGACGTTTAAGCGTGCTGGAGATTATGGTTTTACGATGTCTGTTCATTCATGTAATCCATTTTTGCTTATGTTGGTAAAGAAGAAGACTGGGGAAATTGAATTCTTGTACAAGGATATGCTTAGGAGGAGGATTGCACTTAACTTGTTCACATTTAATGAGGTGGTTAACGGGCTGTGTAAGGAAGGGAAGTTGAATAAGGCTAAAGATGTTATGGAAGACATGAAGATTAGGGGAGTTATGCCGAATGTGGTTACTTATAATACATTAATTGATGGGTATTGTAAAAATGGAGGATCATCGAAGATGTACAAAGCGGATGAAGTTCTTAAAGAAATGGTGGGTAAAGGGATTCAACCAAGTCAGATAACCTATAACACTCTCATTGATGGATTTTGTAAGGATAATAATATTAAGGCAGCTTTAAAGATTTTTTCAGAGATGAAGGAGCATCAGACAAAGCCAAACATTGTGACATATAACTCATTGATTAATGGGCTTTGTGGGGATGGAAGAATTAGGGATGCTTTGGACTTGCAGACTGAAATGGTGAGTCTAGGGTTGCAGCCTAATATTGTTACTCATAATGCCCTTATTAATGGATTTTCCAAAAACAAGATGTTAGTGGAGGCTAGGGAGTTGTTTGATCAAATAATGAAGAAGGGAGTCGTAGTTCCAAGTGTGCTGACTTTTAACTCTATGATGGATGGTTATTGTAAGGCAGGGAAGATGGAGGAAGCAATGCCTCTCTTTGACTTGATGTTGACCAAAAGAATTCAACCTAACGTTTCAACTTATAATTGCTTAATTGGGGGATATTATCGGGTAGGTAATCTTGAAAAAGCTAAAACGATGCTGGATGAGATGGCCCACAAGGGATTGAAGGCTGATATTGTCACCTACAATATACAGATTGATGCAATGTGCAAGATGGGTGAATCTAGAAAGGCTGCTCGCCTGCTGGATGAGATATATGAGGATGGCCTAATTCCAAACCACATAACGTACAATAAAGTGATGGCTGGCTATTGCCAAGAAGGAAATCCGAAGGCAGCTGTTTCTATTAGGAGAAGAATGGAAAGGGAAGGGAAGAAACCTAATGTCGCAAGTTTCAATGTACTGATGAAAGGGTTTTGTTCCAAAGGTAAGCTGGAAGAGGCAAATTCACTTTTGAACGAGATGCTAGAGAAAGGGTTGGCACCTAATCGAACAACCTATGATATAATCAATGGAGAAATGATTGAAAAGGGATTTGTTCCTGATATAGATGTACGTCTCTACAATGATGGAGGAGACTAGAACTTTCAGATTGATTGATATGGAGTTTGTTTTCTGCCCAAAGTGCAAAGATACCTGGTAGGATCTTTCAGTGAGTGGAAAGATGTATGAGGGCCTAATTCCAAACCACATTACGTACAATAAAGTGATGGCTGGCTATTCCAAGAAGGAAATCCGAAGGCAGCTGTTTCTATTAGGAGAAGAATGGAAAGGGAAGGAAGAAACCAAGTGTCGCAAGTTTCAATATACTGATGAAAGGGTTTTGCTCCAAAGGTAAGCTGGAAGAGGCAAATTCACTTTTGAACGAGATGCTAGAGAAGGGTTTGGCACCTGATCGAACAACCTATGATATAATCAATGGAGAAATGATTGAAAAGGGATTTGTTCCTGTAGATAGATGTACGTCTATACAATGATGGAGGAGACTATAACTTTCAGCGTGGGTGATATGAAGTTTGTTTTCTGCCCAAAGTGCGAAGATACCTGGTAGGATATTTCAGTGAGTTGCACAAATGGTGATGGTGTAGCCTTTGCTGTTGCTACTTGCTTTATGGTCTAGTGCCCAAGTATCATGCATGTATGTATGTAAACACACTGTATAGTTGTATATATCTATATATAATAAAAGTTAAGTTTCATATAAGAGTAATTCTAGCATTGATAACTGAAATATGACGGTAAACACAGATCAATGGTTCGAATTCTTCATGACCGAAGCTGTCTGTAAGGACGGACCCAACTGTCCCAACCATTTCCCTACACAATATGGATGCGGCCGTTGATCATAGGAACTTAGGCTTAGATTTATTTGTTGTTGGTGAAATCTGATGTAACTCTTTACAGTTTTAATTCCTATTATTTAATGCCTTTTCTTACTTTTTATAATATTCATTCCACCTAGGCTTGGACCCGGTTTGGGCCACCCGGCCTGGGAATCGGCCCAGCCCGGTACTGTTTGGGCCCGGCCCGGGAACCGGGTACCGGGTCTAGGCCCGGTTTGAAGGGGAAACCGGGGGCGGGTACGGGCTGAGGGAATTGAGAACCGGCCTGGCTGGTTCCGGGCCCGGTTCGGGCCATTTCAATTATTTTTTGTTTTGTTTTGGTTTGGGGCCTTGGGTTTGGTTTAAATGGGCTGGAATGGGCATTTCAGATGAGTTTGTGGGATGGGGGGAGGGATGGGGGGTAGGGGATAAAATAATCCAGAAAACAAAAAATAACAATTAGAACTGGACCCGGCCTGGGTCTGGACCGGCACCGGTCAACTTCCGGGCCGGTCCTGGGCCTCTCTGAATTTTTTTGACCCGGTCGGGCCTAGGCCCGACCCGGAACCGGGCCCGGTTCAGTCCATGCCTAATTCCACCTTTACTATTAATTAATATCCAACCGAAACCTTACGGTAATGATCAAATGGTCACATAAGTGGTAAAGTGGGTGTTCTCATTTGATACCCACCGCACTACCCTAGTCCCACAATTAATTTTATGTTTTGACTTTTTGAGTCAAATTTTATTAACATTGGTCATTAGTTATTCAAAAATCATACGGAGTATTATTTATAACAAAAATAATAATTATGAATATCTTATTTATTTATATTGTTGAAATGTTAACTTATTGTATATTTATAAGTATATTTTCTTAAATATTAATGGTCAACTTTTGACACACGAAAGTCAAATTGTGAACTTAACTGTGAGTGATTGAACAGATGGTTATATACACAAGCTCCCTCACACTCGTTTTGTCCACAAAAAAAGAAGAGTTAGACATTTATTTGAGAAGTTTGTTGTCTAAAAGAGTATGTTTAATATAGAGGAGCTATCCCCATAAATTTAGGGAGGTGTATGCATTTAATACTTTTCAGGACATTTTTAGATTTGTATCAACATGGGATTTTAGGAGACTTGTGTGGATGTGGCTAGATTGTGTGGATTTCAACATAAGACATTTGTGGGCTGTTAAGGAGCAGTTTTGGAACTTTTGTGGACAGTGGCTAATTCCAGCAAAGTTGTAATCATATGGATGAAGCCGAAATTGAAAAAGCGGTGATAACATATCTGAAAAAGAAGGGTTTCAAGCAAACGGAGCTTGCATTCCATGATGATCAAGCTTCGGTTTTGGGCAGATAGCTCTAGGTTTGTACAAGCATGAGTTGCTTCGTGGTCTTGGGATCGAGGTGGGATGGCGTGGAGGATGTAGGAGCTTCCAAGAAGGAAAGGAGAGAAACAGCGAAAACTTTCCCAGACTTTTCTTATAATTCATTCCAAATCTCATGTTAGGAGGTGAGATTTGGGAAATGGGATTTCAGCCTTTGTTTTGGACTAGTAAGTCTCAGATAAGTCCTTAAATGTCTTAAAATTTCTAAAATGAAATCACCCTAGAACCAGCTTTTGAGCTGAGTTGGAGATGCAAGTTGACAAATTGCATGTCCTCCATATAGTAATGGCACCCTTTGATACCCGCATGCTACTAGCTTTGGCTAACAGATGGAGGGATCATGGAGATGGAGAATATGCAAATTTCTCAATTCATCAATGGTTCATGTTCATGATAATTTACATGATGGGGAAATAATAATCAATGAGTTAAATGGTTTAATAATCTTGTCATAATTAGGCAGGTTAGGGTCCATTATATATATTTATCCCCACTTGCAACGTTGGATAATTTTCTTGCCTCGTAACTGCTCGGTTACCTTGCGAGCAATTTTTATCCAAATCTGAACTGCCTCAAATGGGTAACAGGTATAACTGGAACAATCATTTATTGAAATGAGTCATTGATATTTTAATACGTAGTATACACATTCAATATTCTAAAAGACAGAAAATATAGTGCCTAGACGATTCTAGATGTGAAGTGCCACTTTACAAATTCGTACACCCACAAGAGAATATAAAGGTGATCCAAATCAATTTAAGACTAGAAATACTTAAATTGAAAAACCTTATTATCAATAAAAATTTAGATATGATAATCAGATTGGACTCTTCATTTTATTAATACTCCCAAAGTGGTGGTATTCAAAGGTATGATACTCTGTATTAATAAAACATTGCGGAAGATTGCTTTCATTCATTGACTCATTGTGTTGAGATAATTCACATGATACAATCCAAAGGAGGAAGATTTCATGTTTTTCAATATGAGACACGATAGGAATAAATGAAATCTAGATATAACTAAAAGAGAACTGGTAGGCTAGTAATGTAGGTATAAATAAAACTGTAATTGACCAACTCCTTATCCGTAAAAACATGTTTTTTACGGATGAGTGTGGGTATTCGTTGGATCGGACATAATAGACATCTATTGATATGCTTTGAATTTGATCACCCACTGACCACTGTCCACTTATTGTGGAGTGTATGCAGGTCTTGCTGCAGGTCCGGTTACCGTGGATACTTCAATAAAAGTCCTCCTTCCTCTTCTTATTCCTCTCCTCATTCCTCTCCTCCTCCTCCATAAAAATATCTTTGAGAAAGCCAAGTTTTCTCCTAGTATGAAACTACAGAGCCTCCTGACTAATGAACTTTGTTTATACCTAACATTCTATTGAGCGTTTGCTTAAAGTACACTATAATATTTGATATTCCAAAATAGTGCAAAGAGAAAGAATTTAATTATGTTTCTCATATCAGGAGTTCTAGAACAGAAATAACAGTGGAACATTCATTAAAACCAGTGTGACAGAATTGGAACTACCACTGAAGTGTGAAAGTGTTGTCAATGATCTCTTAACAATTTCCGATTTGGATCACCTTCAACTATATGGCAGATCTTTCTTTATTTTCCTTTTCGCATTGTACTATTTTACTCTCTATCAATAAAATTCTGCTTTCTTTAAAAAAAAGGTGTGTGAGTGAGTTCAGTTTAGAAAGTTTATTTATTTCTATATGTTTCCGAGTTATGTTTTGGAGGGAAAGAGAAAGATTAGAATGGTTTGTGACCCTTCCTTTCTTGTTTGAGAGTCTAAAAAATTGGAAGAAATGAAATTGTTTTAATTTGGAGGGTTCTTGTGGCTTTCCAAAACCCTTCAATTCAAATACTTAATTTTTAAGTTTTCTCAAATTTGGGTATTTTGAATGATAACTAATTAAATGATAACTTTAGCTCAATTTAAAATAAATATAAGTTCAACTATTTGAATTTGGCATATATTTGAATTGATTTTTAATTTTAATTCCTTTCGCTCCTATGACTAACCTTCAAAATCTTCCTCTCTCCTTCTCTTCAAACTCCATACCTTATGAGACGTAGAGTATGGAAATAAGGCGATAATGTCTGAACTGGTATGCCGAGAAGATCTTGACACAAATGACATGTACAGAAAATATGTGATTGTCTCTCTTATGAATACGAAGGATTTGTTTGAGTAAATTTCCTTAAGTAAAACATTTCTTTTAAATTTAATTGCATTACGATAATGAAAAATATATAGAAAATAATCAATCATCTACTTCTTACGGAGTACTAAATTTATGCTCATTATTTAGAAAAGATTTCATGTTATAAAAAGGCATTCTTTAAATATGTCTGGTTAGAATAATCTTTCGACCAGTAATCTACACTACATAGAGAACATGCTCCCGAAATTCGATCAAAAAATTTCAATTGGAAGTACATCATCAAATGGAGGTGGTCGGACGGTGTTCCGGTCAAGCTAAGAAATTTCTGTATATATATGTCTGCACAGTTTGTATCATATGGATGGTTGTTATATTCTAGCTTAGGTTAGTAATGTCTTAATTCCTGGTTGTAGAACTCGTCTAGATCCCAAAAGACTCGAGATACTATCTTTGATTAATAAATACTGGAATTGTTTTTGGTCCTAGCTTGTTTTTGTTTTTTTTTCATTCTGTACTTTTTTGTATTTCCTTTTTGTTTTGTTTTTGCACTGTAACCTTTCATGTATTCAATAAAAAAATAATGGAATTGTTTTTCTTGCATCCTGTCTTCATTCTCGATCACTATTTCAAAATTTTGATGTCTGAGTCTTTTAAGTACCTGCAAATTTAGGGCTAATTTGAAGTGATTGAATTATGAAAAATATTTAAAATATATTTTATCAAAAATTAAAGAAAAAATTACATAAAAAGTAGATAAAACACTCCTTAACGGTAACTTCATCCAATTTAATTAGAAAAGTAACCTCAACTTTATGTTTTTTTATTATCACACAACGGACTAAAAATAGCTTAAGGGTTACCAAACGAGCTCTTAATATAGCTCGCAGGTATGTTGAAGCATCAACATTTATTCACGATTATTTCCAACATCAAGTTATAATTTTTGTACCTTTTTTTTTCTTTTTCAAATGTACCAATTTATATTAGTAAAAAATAATTAATTTTTAATTATGGAGTATAGCCGTTAGGGGCGTATAGTCGTATAAGGAGTTATTTTTGAAATTCACATTTCAACCACATTATTTCTTGGGAAAAGTAGGAATAGGTACATGTGGTTAAGCCCTTTTTTCATATAGGATCATGTGTTTCAATTTTTTTTATCAAAGTGGTTCATGTGTTTGAACTCCGTTATATTTTACCGGAAGGTGCGCCTCGTCAAGATGACCTTCAAACCACCTCCGTCTTTGGATTTTTCGAATCTGTTTGGATTATTTTTTAAAAATGCATGAATTCACTAATATCACTTTTCCGGTAGACTTTCCGGTGACAAGGGTGGCTGGAAACAAAAAAGAAAGATGGCCTAGCGGTCGTCTTGTAGAGGTGCACCTTCCGATATTTTTCTTTTAATTTTATGGGTACTTTTGAAAATCGGAGTTACTGTTCATCGTCTTCCTTCGACGTTTTCTAACAACGTCAGGCGCCAGGATCCTCTTGTGATAACGGAGTTCAACCACATGAA